ATATATATGCTCTTGACTATGATGCTATTCTCACTGCCATGTATGCATTGCCTACTAGTGCTGACCGTGCCGGTCACCTGTGCGTCCCGCCTGACCCAGGTATAGGACCTGCTGCTCTAGCTACTGGTGAGGCTGCTGCTCTGGGTGCTAGTGAGTCTCCTGCTCCAGGTACAGGTGCGGCTGCTGCTCTAGGTGCTAGTGAGTCTGCTTCCTCAGGTGCGGGTGAGGCTGCGCTCTCAGGTACCGCGTTGGCTTCGGCCTCCCTCACCTTTACACTTGACTCTGGGGCTTCTCGCTCCTTCTTTCGGGACCGCACCACACTCACGCCGCTTGGTCGGCCGGTTGCAGTCTCCCTGGCTGACCCCTCTGGGGGTCCTGTCCTCGCTCACTTCTCCACTGTCCTCCCGTGTCCGGCTGCCCCCTCGGGCACCCTGTCTGGCCTGTACCTCCCCTCGTTCTCGACGAACTTGGTGAGTGGTGCAGACCTACAGGATGCGGGGGTTCACCAGTTCACTCCTGCGAGTCAGCGGGTGACCCACTGCACGGACGCACGCACAGGCCGGCACCTGGCCACGTTCTCGCGTCGGCCGGGGTCGAGCCTCTACACCCTGACCACTAAGTCTCCTCCTGTCCCCGCGTCCGGTCAGGTAGCAGCGTCGGGTCAGGTGTTTGCTGCTGCGTCCAGGTCTGGTCCTGAGTCTGCCCCCTGTTCGTGTCGCCTCCTATCTCACGAGACTCTTCTGTGGCACCACCGTCTAGGCCACCCCTCCTTGCCCCGTCTTCGGGGCATGGCTTCCCGTGTCCTTGTCTCTGGTCTTCCCCAGTCTCTCCCTCCCCTTCCTTCGGGACCAGGACCTTCCTGTGTCCCCTGTGTCGAGGGGCGCCTCAGGGCTGCTCCTCACTCCTCCCAGTTTCCCCCGACAGAGGCTCCTCTGCAGACGCTTCACATGGACGTGTGGGGCCCGGCCCCCGTCCGTGGGCAGGGTCACGAGCGCTACTTCCTGTTGGTGGTTGACGACTACTCGCGTTACACCTCAGTCTTCCCCTTGCGCAGCAAGGGTGCTGTCACTGAGGTGCTGATCGACTGGATCCGCGAGGCTCGTCTCCAGCTCAGGAGGAGCTTCGGCTCGGACTTTCCTGTTCTGCGTCTGCACTCTGACCGAGGTGGGGAGTTCTCCTCTCGCCTTCTGCGAGACTACTGTCGTGCACAGGGGATCCGCCAGACCTTTACGCTTCCGGACTCTCCACAGCAAAATGGGATTGCTGAGCGCCGCATTGGCATGGTCATGGATGTCGCTCGTACGTCCATGATGCATGCGGCTGCCCCCCATTTTCTGTGGCCGTTTGCGGTTCGGTACGCGGCGCATCAGCTCAACCTTCACCCCAGGGTCTCTTGGCCCGCGATGTCCCCAGTGTTACTGTGCACGGGGAAGGTCGGCGATGCGTCTGCGTTCCGTGTCTGGGGATCTCGGGCGTTTGTCCGCGACTTGTCTGCGGACAAGCTGTCCCCCCGTGCTGCTCCCTGTGTCTTCCTAGGCTTCCCCCCTGACGCTCCAGGGTGGCAGTTCTACCACCCCTCCTCTCGTCGTGTTCTGTCCTCCCAGGACGTCACGTTCGACGAGTCAGTCCCCTTCTACCGCCTCTTCCCCTACCGTACTCCTTCCCTTCCCCCCCCACCGGACTTCCTGGTACCAGTTCCCCCCCCGGTAGACCCCCTCCCCCCTCAGGTTCCTGCCCCTTCGGGTGTGTCCCAGGTAGACACGGTCGAGCCAGTCGAGGTTGCTGCTGAGTCTGGTCCTGCTGCGGGTGCTGAGCCTGGGGGTGCTGCTGCTGGGGGTGCTGAGCCTGGGGGTGCTGAGCCTGGGGGTGCGAGGCCGGGGGGTGCTGAGTCTGGGGGTGCTGAGCCGGGGGGTGCTGAGCCGGAGGGTGCTACGTCAGGAGCTGCTGAGCCTGGGGGTGCTGGGCCTAGAGGTGCGGAGCCTGCGCCTGCTGGACCTGGGGGCTCTCCGGTTCTTCCGTCTCGACAGGAGCCGCTCTCTCCACAGGAGCTGCGCGAGTGGTTTGCTCGCCGCTGGAGGCGTGCTGCTGGAGCTGGAGCTTCTTCGCCTGCTGAGGGTGCTGCCGGTCCCGGAGCTGCTGGGCCTGCGGGTCCTATTGGAGCTGGAGCTTCGTCGACCGTCGAGGGTGCTGGTGCTGCCGGTCCCGGAGCTGCTGGGCCTGCGGGTCCTACTGGAGCTGGAGCTGCTGAGGGTGTTGGTGCTGAGACTACTGCTGTCTGTCCTGGCGGTGGTTCTGCTGCTGGTGCTGCTGGAGGTCCTGCCGCTGGAGGTGTTGGTGGCGCTGGTGCTGTCGCTGAGGGTGCTGGTGCTGTCCCTGCTGAGTCTGGAGCTGCCGCGCGGCCTCGGCCGTACTTCGTTCCGCTCCTACAGCAGGTTCTTGGTCTTTCTCCTTCGATAGAGTGTCCACAGCCTGTCCAGTCGCAGTCACTGTTGGAGCCTTCCTCTCCTTTGCCTGCTCCCTCTCCTTACACTGGTCCTACTAGAGGTCTTGCTGAGCGTCGTGAGCCTGCGTCTCGTCCCGCGTCGCCTGTTCGTGCTGCTCGCGCTAGTGGTCGCGGTTCGCGTCAGCGTCCTCCTCCTGTCCCTGGCACGCACCGGATGTCTCTGCGTCCGTCCACTGCTCCTCTGCGTGCCCCTTTGCCTTCTCCTCTTGAGTCCTCTCTTCCTGCGCTTGCCGACCCTGAGTCGGACTCTCTTCGCGCTGCCAGTCCTACTGTCACGCGTCTGCTTGCTACTGTCGTCAGTGACCCCTCTTTTGAGTCCACTGCTGCGTCTGCTCTAGTCGCTGAGCTCGTTGACTTTGCTGCTCGCTGTCGTCTCGACTACGCTGCTGGTCTTGTTGCTTAGTCTGCGTGTGTCTGTCCTCCGTCCGTCGGGGGTGAGTGTGCTCTTGGCCCGGACGTCCTAGAGGACAGACAGGAGGAGTTACAGTGTCTAGCGGCTGCTTCACCTCATCTCGCGTCTGTACTGCTTGCCCCTGAGGGAGACCCGGATGCACTAGACATCCCGACTCCGCGTTCTTACGCGGAGGCCGTAGAGGGTCCCTACTCCTCTCACTGGCAGGCAGCTATGGATGCAGAGATGGCTTCCTGGAAGTCCACAGGCACCTACGTTGACGCAGTTCCCCCTCCTGGGGCGAACATCGTCAGTGGCATGTGGATCTTCCGGGTGAAGCGGCCGCCGGGCTCTCCACCTGTCTTCAAGGCGCGGTACGTTGCTCGTGGCTTCAGTCAGCGGCAGGGAGTTGACTACTTTCAGACCTTCTCTCCCACCCCAAAGATGACCACTCTTCGGGTGCTGCTGCACATAGCCGCTCAGCGCGACTACGAGCTTCACTCTCTCGACTTCAGCACTGCGTTCCTGCAGGGTAGCCTGCACGAGGAGATCTGGCTGCGCCGTCCACCTGGCTTCACTGGGACTTTCCCTCCTGGCACCCAGTGGAGCCTCCGACGGCCAGTCTACGGTCTCCGCCAGGCACTGCGTGAGTGGCACGACACACTGAGGACTACGCTTGCGGCTCTTGGGTTTGCTCCTTCTACTGCTGACCCGTCGCTGTTTCTGCGCACCGACACTTCACTGCCGCCGTTCTACATCCTCGTGTACGTCGACGACTTGGTCTTTGCCACAGCGGACACTGCTGGACTCGCCTACGTGAAGTCCGAACTGCTGAAGAGACACACGTGCACAGACCTGGGTGAACTGCGCAGCTACCTTGGCTTGCAGATCACTCGGGACAGAGCACGCCGCACCATTACCTTGACTCAGTCACACATGGTGCAGCAGGTCCTTCAGCGCTTCGGCTTCACGTACTCCTCGCCTCAGGCCACTCCTCTGCCTACTCGCCACTCACTCTCAGCTCTGCCTTCGGATGAGTCCGTAGAGTCGAGTGGTCCGTATGCAGAGCTTGTTGGCTGCCTCATGTACCTGATGACCTGCACACGACCTGACCTTGCATACCCTCTGAGCATTCTTGCACGCTATGTTGCTCCTGGGAGACACAGACCAGAGCACATGGCTGCAGCGAAGAGGGTATTGCGCTACCTGTGCAGTACGTCGGGCATGGGGCTTGTGCTTGGAGGGCGGAGTCCAGTGGTCCTTACCGGCCACGCGGACGCTTCTTGGGCTGACGACCAGGCTACGCAGCGGTCGTCACAGGGTTACACCTTCAGCCTTGGTTCCGGCTCTGTCTCGTGGCGGTCTACTCGCTCGTCTTCGGTTCTCGGCTCCAGTTGTGAGGCTGAGATCTACGCCGGGGCCATGGCTGCACAGGAGCTTCGCTGGCTCACCTACCTGCTGACTGACCTTGGAGAGCCGCCTCGTTCTCCTCCAGTGCTGTACGTAGACAACAAGGCCATGCTGGCCTTGTGTCGAGAGCAGCGCTTGGAGCACAGAACGAAGCACATTGCTCTCCGCTACTTCCTTGCTCGTGAGCTGCAGCAGCGTGGTCAGTTGCGACTTGCGTACGTGGCCTCTGAGGCCAACACTGCTGATGTGTTCACCAAGGCACTCGCGCCTTGTGATCATCAGCGCTTTTGCACCCAGCTGGGTCTTGTGTCTGTCTTGCCTCACTTGCTCTCCTCTTGACTTTACTTGTACTGTGACATATATATATACCTGCTCTTGCTTGTCTAGTTTTATATATATGTCTGTACTCCTGCATGTGAACTGGCCTCTGGCCCTGCTCTTGTGCTCGGACTGTGTGGTGACTTTGTGATCCACCCTGAGCTTGCTTTGCTTTGCTTGACTGGTCTTGTGACCCCTTGTTCTCCCCCACTTTGCCTATGGGGGTGTGTCAAACATTATATATGTTATACTTGTGTAGGCTACAGTGGGTTAGCCTATAGGGGGTACACAATTCTAGGGTTTACTACTTGTACTCTTTTCACTTCTAGTTCATTCCATTCCTGTTCGCTTATTCTCACAGTGTGTTCTAAAAAAAGTATGAAACTTTCAGAGTACACTCAAGTAAAAGTCTGATTGTGCTTGTTGTAGCCCTAGTAGTCATATTGAAGTAAGCCTACTCTACTTCTCATACAGCTTTGCCTACATTACTACTACTACTACTACTACTACTACTACTACTACTACTACTACTACTACTACTACTACTACTACTACTACTACTACTACTACTACTACTACTACTACTACTACTACTACTACTACTATTACTACTACTACTACTATTACTACTACTACTACTACTACTATTACTACTACTGTTATTACTACTACTACTACTACTACTACTACTACTACTACTACTACTACTACTACTACTACTACTACTACTACTACTACTACTACTACTACTACTACTACTACTACTACTACTACTACTATTACTACTACTACTACTACTACTACTACTACTACTACTACTACTACTACTACTACTACTACTACTACTACTGCTACTACTACTACTACTACTACTACTACTACTACTACTACTACTACTACTACTACTACTAATGCTGCTGCTTAGCCTTCACAAGATCACAGTTAGAATAGAACTAACTAACTAATACCCTACCTACATCCAGTCAGCAAATCCATCGTCATCATCACTGTCAACTGGCACTCCTGCGCAGATGTCAACCTCGCCATCACCAGCTTGTGCTTCGCCGTGCTAGCATGTTTCCGAAACGACTGTGTCTGCAAATCAGTAGCACCTTTCCCACTCCTCCCGCACTTGCCTGCATCGCCAGCAAATGACACACGCAAAGTACACCTAAACGCAGGCAAACCAGAGGCGACTTTAGTGATCCGAAGCCACGAAAAACGAGCAGACCAGAGACTCTTGAACTTGTCTATCGCCTCATCGTAGACTTCTTCGATGAGCTGGGTCCTGTCCTTCCTAGCTTCTCCACCGTCTTACCATGCCCGGCAGCCCCCTCTGGCATCCTGCCAGGTCTCTACCTCTCCTCGTTCTCTACGAACTTGGTGAGTGGAGCTGATCTACAGGATGGGGGGGTTGACCAGTTCACTCCTGCGAGTCAGCGGGTGACCCACTGCACGTGTGCTCGGACGGGCCGACACTTGGCCACGTTTACCCGTCGGCCGGGGTCGAGCCTGTACACACTGACTACTGAGTCTCCTCTGGCTGCTGAGTCTGGTCAGGTAGCTGCGTCAAGTCAGGTGTTTGCTGCAGCGTCCAGGTCTGGTTCTGAGTCTGCTCCCTGCTCGTGTCGTCTCCTGTCCCACCAGACTCTCCTTTGGCACCACCGCCTTGGTCACCCCTCCCTGCCTCCTCTCCGAGGCATGGCCTCCCGTCTCCTTGTCTCTGGTCTCCCCCGGTCCCTCCCTCCCCTCCCTCCGGGGCCTGCCCCTACCTGCGTTCCCTGCATCGAGGGACGGCAGCGCGCAGCCCCTCACTCCTCCGAGTTACCTCTGACAGAGGCTCCGCTACAGACTCTTCACATGGACGTGTGGGGACCCGCCCGCGTATGTGGCCAGGGTCACGAGAATTACTTCCTGTTGGTGGTTGACGACTATTTGCGCTACACCACGGTCTTCCCCTTGCGCAGCAAGGGTGACGTCACTGAGGTGTTGATCGACTGGATCCGCGCAGCTCGTCTCCAGCTCAGAGAGAGTTTCGGCTCGGACTTTCCTGTTCTACGTCTGCACTCGGACAGAGGCAAGGAGTTTTCCTCTGCCCGTCTGGGAGCCTTCTGTCGTGCACAGGGCATCCGCCAGACCTTCACGCTTCCGGCCTCTCCACAGAATAATGGGATTGCTGAGCGCCACATTGGCATGGTCATGGACGTCGCTCGTACGTCCATGATCCATGCGGCTGCCCCCCATTTTCTGTGGCCGTTTGCGGTTCAGCACGCAGCGCATCAGCTCAACCTTCAGCCCCGGGTCTCCTTGCCAGAGACCTCCCCCACCTTGCGGTGGACGGGGAAGGTTGGCGATGCGTCTGCGTTTCGGGTCTGGGGATCTCGGGCGTTTGTCCGCAACTTGTCTGCGGACAAGCTGTCCCCCCGTGCTGTTCCCTGCGTCTTCCTTGGCTTCCCCCCTGACGCGCCTGGGTGGCAATTTTACCACCGCACCTCGCGCCGTGTTCTATCCTCCCAGGACGTCACCTTTGACGAGTCGCTGCCTTACTACCGTCTCTTCCCCTACCGCACTGCGCCCCTCCCCCCGCCGCCGCTCTTTCTTGCGCCAAGTCGTCCCCCGGTAGACCCCCTCCCCCCTTAGGGTCCTGCCCCGTCAGGTGTGTCCCAGGTAGACGTAGTCGAGCCTGTCGAGGTAGCTGTTGACTTTGGTCCTACTAGAGGTGCTGGGCCTACGGGTGCCGGGTCTGGAGGTGCTGAGCATGAGGGTGCGGAGCCTGGGGGCGCTGAGTCCAGGGGTGCGGAGCCTGGGGGTGCTGAGCCTGGGGGTGCTGAGTCTACGGTTGCTGAGCCTGGGGGTGCTGAGCTTGGGGGTGCGGAGCCTGGGGGTGCTGGGTCTGCTCGTGTGGCCTCTCGCGGTGCTTCGTCGAGGCGGGAGCTACTCTCTCCGCAGGAGCTGCGCGAGTGGTTTGCCCGGCGCTGGAGCCGTGCTGCTGGAGCTAGAGGTACTACTGTTGCTGCTAGTCCCGCAGGTGCTCGTACTGGCGGTATTGGAGCTGTTGGGGCTGGGGGTGCTGCTGGGGCTGCTGGAGCTGGTCTTGCTGGAGGTACTGCTCGAGCTGCTGGCGGTACTGGAGCTGCCGGTCCTGCTGGAGTTGGTGCTGCTGGAGCTACTGGAGCTGGAGCTGCTTGGAGTGTTGGCGCTGGTGGTTGTGCTGGCGCTGGTGCGTCTGAGGGTGCTGGAGTTGGCGCTGTTGAAGCTGGAGGTGCTGCTGGCGCGGGTGCTGCCGCTAGGCGTACTGGTGCTGTCCCTGCTTGTTTTGGAGGCGCTGCGCGGCCGAGGCCGTACTTCGTTCCGCTCCTTGAGCAGGTTCTTGGTCTCCCGCCCTCTACTGGTCCTGCTCCTCCCTAAGAGTGTCCACAGCCTGTCCAGTCGCAGTCACAGTTACAACCCGCCTACCCCCTACCTGATCCTTCTCCCTACACTGGTCCTACTGGAGGTCTTGCTGAGCGTCGTGAGCCTGCGTCTCGTTCTGCGTTGCCTGTTCGTGCTGCTCGCACTAGTCGTCGTGCTCCGCGTCCGCATCCTCCTTCGGTCCCAGGCACACACCGGATGGCACTGCGTCCTTCCACTGCTCCTCTGCGTGTCCCGTTGCCGTCTCCTCCAGAGTCCTCTCTTCCTACTCTTGCTGACCCGGAGTCTGACTCTCTTCGTGCTGCAGTTCTACTGTCACGCGTCTCCTAGCTACGGTTGTCACTGACCCTTCCTTTGAGTCCACTACCGCGTCGGCCCTAGCTGCTGAGCTTGTCGACTTTGCTATTCGCTGTCGTCTAGACTACGCCACTAGTCTCGTTGCTGAGTCTGAGTCTGTCTGTCCTCCGTCCGTCGGGGGTGAGTGTGCTCTTAGCACGGACGTCCTTGAGGACAGGCAAGAGGAGTTCCAGTGTTTTGCTGCTGCTTTGCCTCATCTTGGGTCCACGCTGATTGCCCCTGAGGGAGACCCGGATGCACCAGACATCCCGACTCCTCGATCGTACGTTGAGGCGATCGAGGGTCCCTACTCCTCACAGTGGCAGTCAGCCATGGACGCAGAGATGGCTTCCTGGAAGTCCAGAGGCACCTACGTCGACGAGGTTCCCCCACCTGGGGCGAACATCGTCAGTGGTATGTGGATTTTTAGGGTCAAGCGGCCGCCAGGTTCTCCGCCTGTCTTCAAGGCGCGTTACGTGGCTCGAGGCTTTAGTCAGCGGCAGGGAGTTGACTACTTTTAGACCTTCTCTCCCACCCCGAAGATGACCACTCTTCGGGTGGTGCTGCACATAGCCACTCAGCGCGACTACGAGCTTCATTCTCTTGACTTCAGCAAAGCTTTCCTGCAGGGCAGCCTGCACGAGGAGATCTGGCTGCGCCGCCCACCTGGCTTCACTGGGTCGTTTTCCCCTGGTACCCAGTGGAGCCTCCGGCGGCCAGTCTACGGTCTCCGCCAGGCGCCCAGTTAGTGGCACAACACAGTGAGGACTACACTTGCGGCTCTTGGGTTTGCTCCTTCTACTGCCGACCGGTCGCTGTTTCTGCCCACCGACACCTCTTTGCCGCCGTTCTACATCCTCGTGTACGTCGACGACTTGGTCTTTGCCTGTGCTGACACTGCTGGACTTGCTCACGTGAAGTCCGAGCTGCAGAAGAGACACACGTGCACAGACTTGGGTGAACTGCGCAGCTACCTTGGCTTGCAGATCACCCGGGACAGAGCATAGCGCACCATTACCTTGACTCAATCACACATGGTGCAGGAGGTCCTTCGGTGCTTCGACTTCACGTACTCCTCCCCTCAGGCCACTCCTCTGTCTACTCGCCACTCGCTCTCAACTCTGCCTTCGGATGAGTCCGTAGAGCCAAGTGGCCCGTACCCAGAGCTTGTGGGCTGCCTCATGTACCTGATGACCTGCACTCGACCTGACCTTGCATACCCTCTTAGCATCTTGGCACGCTATGATGCTCCTGGGAGACACTGACCAGAGCATATGGCTGTAGCGAAGAGGGTGTTGCGCTACCTGTGCAGTACGTTGGGCATGGGGCTAGTGCTTAGAGGGCGGCGTTCAGTGGTCCTTACAGGTCACGCAGACGCTTCTTGGGCTAACGACCAGGCTCTGCAGCGGTCGTCACAGGGTTACACCTTCAACCTTGGTTCCGGCTCTGTTTCGTGGCGGTCTACCCGCTCGTCTTCTGATCTCGGCTCCAGCTGTGAGGCTGAGATCTACGCAGGGGCCATGGCTGCACAGGAGCTACGCTGGCTCACCTACCTGCTGACTGACCTAGGAGAGCCGCCTCGTTCTCCTCCAATTTTGTACGTAGACAACAAGGCCATGCTGGCCTCGTGTCGGGAGCACAGACCGGAGCACAGAACGAAGCACATTGCTCTTCGTTACTTCCTTGCTCGTGAGCTGCAGCGGTGTGGTCAGCTGCGCCTTGCTTACGTGGCCTCTCAAGCCAACACTGCTGATATCTTTACCAAGGCACTTCCTCCTGGTGATCATCAGCGCTTCTGTATGATGCTAGGTCTTGTGCCTACTTGGCCTCACTTGCTCACTTCTTGACCTTGCTTGTACTGTGATCTTTCTATACCTGTACTTGCCTGTTTACCTTTTATATGATCTTGCTTGTGAACTGGCCTTTTGGCCTTGCTCTTGTGCTCGGATTGTGTGGTGACGTTGTAATCCACCCTGAGCTTGCTTTGCTTTGCTTGACTGGTCTTGTGACCTCTTGTACTCCCCCACTTTGCCTATGGGGGTGTGTCAAACTTATATGCTATAGTTTGTGTAGGCTGTAGTAGGGTAGACTATGTGAGAATTGAGGGATGAAGAAGAGAGAGGGGGTTCACTAGCAGCAATGAGGATACATATAGCAAACCCTAG